ATTTTACACTGTAACCCAGGACAATCAGTAATGTCATTTTAATGCTTCAACCCAAAACATTTCAGTGGAACAGAAGGCATTTTCTAGTTCAGCATAAAATGTAAAAATACCGTGTAATCATAATGCAAGTTAAAGCCTGGACAGTGAGTCACCTAGGTTTAGGTACGTGTTCTCTAACAGACCCCATGATACCGTCTTTAACTTTAGTGTTAGAATGACTGTAAAACCTTCAGGGTAACACTGTAAACAATAACGTTATTTCAGTAAAAGAAACAAGACCTGCTCGTTTTAACTTAAGTTTCTTAGGGTTTTTTTTTAAGTCTATGAAAGATAATACAAGAAAAAATGAATGTGTTATTTCACTATTTAAAAACTTTTGTGTTTCCACATTAACTGCTTCATATCCCATCAAATGCAGTGACGCTTTTTTTGTGAGCGATGCAAAGTGGATGTTGCATCAATTTACAGGGTCTGGTGATGGTTCCTTAACACACAGTTTAAGAGGGGTTGCTGTTAAATCGATCTGCCACAGATCACAAAATTAGTACGGCCTTTGTGCTGTCGCTGAAGCACTTTTCTGTCGTGTAGAGCACTTCGTCATGTTTCTCATCATTTATCTGACTTCTCTAAAACTGTGAGTCTCCTCTAAGTAATGATTAGGGTTGCACTGGCAGATTTAGAGGTTGCACCTCATAGCTGAGGGTTCTGAACAAGCCTGTCAACAAGCTGAGTGCCATCCCAGGTAACAGCCTTATTACACGTGTTAGTTTGCACTCCGTTAGTTTTAAAATTGTCGTCAGTCTTGGTTGTGGTGTCACATAGTGACGTTGCCATACGGCACGGAGGAATTTCCCTCCCTAGTTGTAACTTGCTGCTTGCAAAAGCACCGGAGCTGCTGCTTCCCCTGTGCCCTTTTGCTGCTGCTATTATTTGAAATGCTGTTCCATTCCGTCTCCAAGGTTGAATTCCTGTGACTATGTGGCAGAACAGCCTTGCGAGAGGGCGTTAGCTTTGAAACTCAATTCTTTTTGCAGCCGGCGAGAGCTCGTTTGGTTGCCTTTAGGAAGTGATCTATACTCTTGACCTAGCTAGCTCGGAGATGCATCTGTTCAAATTAGCTTTTTCTTTTCAAGGTCACAGAGCAGTTGAGTGAGTATGGGTGGGCTAACAGGAATATGGGTTTCTTTCCTGCTGTTCCGTTCCTCTTCTTGGCAAGTGTGCTCAAAAAACCACAATACGTGTTTTCAAATAACTGCAAAGACTTACACCGTGTCTAATGCAGCTAACTGCTGCAAAAACTTCCCCGTGAAATTCAGTGGGTTTATTTGGATAATCTTTGTTTGTTGATCTCCCTAGAGAGAGGATTTAACCACTGACAGATTCATTGGGAGTGGTTTTAGAGGACAAATCAGGTGGAGCCGGACGTTGTTGACCACTGCGACTGCAGTGGTGGTATGACCTTGTCTAACTGGGTGTCTTGATTCATCTGTTTCTGTTAAAAATGAGTTAAGGTAGAGTCCAAACAGAGGTCCCCTGAAGCACTGTACAGAAAAAAAAATTGCAAGCTACAGGAAGAGACCCTTTGCTCTTCCATCTCCTTGGAAAGGAAACAAAGGATTTTGGTCTCCTACCAGCTGCAAATGCAGAGACAGAGACAGGCCTCCTCGCGTCCCTTCGTCCTTGCAGACGTCCTTAGCTAGCTGCTGTTGCCAGTCAGTCCCAGGCCTGTGCAAATAATGTAACCAACCAGAATTTAGGTACTCACTCTGCTGGTTTTCTGATTCTTACCGTGTTTGGTTGCGGATTAGAAGCCTTAGTAATTCCTGTCTTTTTCTGATGTCCGAGACAGCCAGCGACACCGACCTGGACAATTCTGTTGCAGTGGTTGTGGTGCCTGAGTTGGTGTTGTACGCGGTGCTATTATCAGGCATCAGAAGTAGTGCTGCCTTGGGGTGAATGGGTAGCCACTTCTTAGATCACATCTTTCTTATCAATAATTATGCATTTTAGCTGAGGGTAACGAACATGTAGTTTTCACAAGCTGTGCCTCTTATTTTTTGCCTCTTCTTTCTCCTTTCATTAATCCTTACCTTCTGTGCATGCCAAAACGCATGGCCCATGTAGCCTTTCTCATTTGTTACAATTGCTATAATTTTAGAATATCCTCATTGCTTGCTTAATACGCTGCAATGATATATCAACATACGGCTCTGAGCTAGGGGCAGTGCAGTTTTTCTAACTACGTGGAATATGTGAGTGCACCTGTACCCAGTTAATTTTGTTTTACATACAGCTACGTTGCCAGGTATGTGGGAAAGAACAGTAACTATAGGAAGTGCTGGAAAAACATACAGTGTAACTGGCTGGAAGGTAAGAAGAATCAATGTATAAGAGTTCAGTTATATAAATAACAGAATGCATTTATTACACTAAAAAAATCTCCGTTTTTATGACGTGACTTTTGAAAGCTTCTGGTAAATCTCCTTGTCTCCAAACATGAAGATAGTATTCAGTTGGAGCAATTACCCATCTTCAAAGCCCATGTTTTAATCATTTTCTTGTCTCTTGATTAATAAGCTCTTGTGAGAAAACCGTATTAAAAAAATTAAAGGCAGTATGATTTGTTCAAATATTTCCTTGTCTCTTGATTAATAAGCTCGTGTGAGAAAACCGTATTAAAAAAAATTAAAGGCAGTATGATTTGTTCAAAACCAGTCAAGAATCTTGGAGAAAACATGGATATTACCTTATTTTAACTTTTCAGTTTTGTGGTGGTATTTTCAGATTGTGATAATGGTGTGTTTTGGAGTAGCTTCTATTTCTGTCAAATATTTAATGATAATATTTTGCTTGACTTTAGAATACCTGTCAGAAAGTAAACAAAAACATTTAAACATTTGGCAACTCAGTTCTTTCTTCTTCATCGCCTGTGTTGAGACTGAACCATGACATGGATGATTCAGGAGTGAGCTTTTGTTTTATGTTCAAACCACCCTTGACACCTTTGCTTATGAGGTGGAAAGATTCTAAAACAATTAGGAATAACATTCCTAATAAACGCTCAGTTTGTTTTCTGACCCTTGTTACCTGGATAGTTAAAGTTTGCTCAGTGCCCTGTGAGAGAGAGGGATAAGTGAAACACTAACTGTTGTCTCAAATCTAGAACTTTTTAGTGGCATCACTTAGCAAACTTGGTGTAAACCAGCTCTTTTCTTAATTCTTTATCGAAACAAATTCCCTACCAATTCTTAGAATAGAAAAACTTAAGACATTGGCTAATTTTAATTCTTTGTTAATGTTTAGTAACACCCCCGCTGTAAGTATAACGTGTGCATGCTTTCTTCCCTTAGCTTGGCTGGTCTATTGGCCCCCCGAACCTGATTAAGCATTTGCAAGTTGTTCACCAAAATACACTGTATACTTGCCCAACTCCGTTACAGGTGGGTACAGATGGGGCAAAGGAGGTTATTTTCTGGTGTAGCAAAACTGTAGGTCTCGCTGGAATAACGTGATAATCGCCACGGTGAGTTTTTAGTTGTCAAAATACATATTCTGGGCTGCAAGAAGAGGAGACAAATTTGATCAGCTCAACAGACACTTAAAAACAAAACAAAAATCCCAGTCTCGCAGATTCTTTCTTCTTGCACGTATAAACTGCTGCTTCTTGCACAAAACATGACAATCTTAGTGGTTTCCTAGCAAATACAAATGAAAGTTGTTGCAATAAGGTCCTGTTTTACTGAGCATTATCTTTGTCTACTAGTTTCAAGTATTCTGTGATGCATTGTTATCATCAATAATTTAAATTTAGCTTCAATTCAGATTATAACCCCTTGTGTCAAGGACTGTGACTTCGGTGTATGATTAGCACGTAGCAAGTGATTGGGTGCTTTGGGTGTTGCCACAGCACAAAGTAACAAACAAATCACACACTTGGATGTAGCTTGTGTAATTTGTATACGCTGATTTGCTTAACGAGGGCCAGAATTGAAGAAAAATCCACGTGGTTTCAGTAGGAAAGTGGGTGTCTGTGAGTTTACTGAGTGTCTGTGAGGGCTTTGAACATTAACTGTCTTTCCAGGAGGCTTTGGCACAAGCATTTTGGATAGACTATAAACGCATGGATGACCCAGACTGCTATTTTTACTCGCTGTCTCGAGAGCTGGAAAGCAAGCGTGATCGGATGGCTCAGCTACTTCAAGAAGCTGGACTAAAGCCGGTCATTCCAGACGGAGGATACTTTATGATTGTTGATGTTTCTGCATTAAGTTAGTATAAAGTTTATTAAAAAGGGTGTGGAAAGCCAATATTATAGTTAATCTGAAAATGCAGCTTTCATTTTAAACTATATTCTCATTTCATGTTTGCGTAACGTTGTCGGAAGTGCTAACTGGGACTGAAGTTTTCTGTTTGACCTTAGCCTGGGAGGCAGATTTTAGAACCTTCAGCAAAGCCTTTGTTTGTGATCCCAACTACTGTCCGTGTTTTGCAAAGCTTTGGCAAGGTCTTAGGGAGGATAAAGGAGGTGGATAAAAATTTTCTGTTTTCAAAAGGTCTGTGATTATGAAAAAGTTTGAGAGCCAAGGACCTGGCTTGTTATCCCGAGTTCATACCATTTGTACTTTACCCTTTCTGGGGTTTGTTTGTTTGTTTGTTTGTTTTTCTGATTCTGAAGTCATACCCGGAAGGCTCTTTGAGGCATTCTGGTTTCTAAACACTGTAAAATGCTACCAACATTTACAAAACCTTTTGGAAATTCAGGTTATAGTGACTTCGGGGGAAGAATTCCCCCCAGGGGTACATTTTCTAGTTCTGCATTTTTCACGAGCTGGGCCTAATGGCACCCGTCATTCACACAGAAATGTTTAAATACAGCTGGACCTCGCAGTGCTACCATGTGTCAGGACGTTTTAGGTACCCCAGTTTCACAGATGAGAAAACGGCAGTTGCGGTTGGTTATTGCTGTCCGTGCAATAAATATGCTCTTCAGTACCCTCCACAACCCAGACCTGAGGACTTCTTGGGCTGCTGGGTGGCTTTCTTCCAAGCTACATGTCTGAATTTGCTTTGAATGGAAAGCAGGTGCTCAGGTCAGAAAGGAAAGGTTCAATCTGTTGGTCTGTTTTAATGGTTATTGTATAATTTTTAAATTATATTTTAAAATAAAAGCATACATCTTTAATCTTAGGTATTAACTATAATAAAGTGCTGTTAATGAATGCCTTCCCAATGGAGTCTAGGAAATCTTACCACATGTTTGTTTTAAATTTAATCTTTTTAGATGTGGATCTCTCTGATGTAGATGAGAAACAACCTTATGATTATAAATTTGTCAAGTGGATGATAAAATCTAAGGTAAGATGTCTTAGTCATACTCTAGTTTTAGAAATGCTTTTCTATTGAAAGCAGGAACAGTGCAACTGTGTTTATTAGATAATGTCATAGAGATATTCCATTTGAAATATTATTTAGCGTTCATGGTAACTGCTGCTAATGATGAGGCTAAAATACTGCTAAATATGCTGAAAATGTACCCTCTGGGTTTTTGTTCCGTCCCAGCACTTTTTTTTCAGCATGCTTAAACGCTAGTTGTACAAAAGTACCTTTGAAATGTTTTGCCAAAGAAAAGTAATTTGAAGTTTGTTAAGCCTGGCTAGTGCATACAAACCCTGTCTTTCCCTCACATGCTGGGAGGAGAGTTCTCGAAATGGAATAGTAAAATCAACATGCTTAAACCAGCTTTTTTATAAACATAAATAAAATAGGCAAATAATATTTCTGTTTCATGTTTCAGAAGCTGTCAGCTATTCCTCTGTCAGCGTTCTGTGGTCCCGAGACAAAAAGGCAGTTTGAAAAATATATACGGTTTTGCTTCATTAAGGTAAACTTGTGTCCTGGGAAGACTTAAGGCTCCTAAAAATCAATGCAGTGCAGAAATCTGCAAGAGACGGACGGTTGCGTTTTGCCCAGGTTCTCCCGAGCTGGGTGGTTTTAGGAAGAGAAAGTTAGCTTGGTGTAAAATTCAGCACAAAGTAGCTTCAACTGTCTTTTTGCTGAGGGACTTTGAATGTGGCTGGCGTGGCTAAGAAGGGCAGCTGGCAGAAAAGAGCTGGCTGGGTAGGCCTCGTGTGTTGGTTTTTAAAAACATTGTTGACCAGTGGTGACATGGAAAAGGAATGACACGGGTACGCTATCAGTTAAGGTGAATTCTGTAATCCAGAGCAGAGAAGAATTGTCTAGCAGTGTGGCACACCCCGTGCCCGTTCAGTTTCCACCCACAAAACCAGTGGTCACCTTCAAGTTTAGCACACTGAAAATACACAGGGTTGCACACGAGCCCCAAGTTACCGAAGCGAACAAAGACCCAGGGAGTTACCTTACCTGGTGGTTGTGAATTGGCTGACTTTCGCTGTTTGGGGAGCACCTGCTTTTCACATGTTCTTCCTCCTGTGGAATCCGTTCTTGAAAAGACTGGAAGGCTTTGGGGACGGGTGCAGGGGCTCTCTGGTAAGCCTGCAGCCCTCAGATGTTTCCTCGTCGTTCTGTAGCAGAGTCAGCATAAGGGAACCTGTGCAGCTCCTGAACTGTTGTGGTGTAAAGGTCGGAGCCTTAGCTTGAACCGGTAATGCAGGGGAGCTTCTGCTTGGGTTGCTTCGCTCTTTTGATGAGGTGGAAGGACTGTATTGTAAACTGAGCCAGTAACAACCAGCATGAAACTTGCTGGTGGTAGATGTGGCTTGCCCAGGATGAACGGCGCTAATCGTGTCAAGTTAAAGACACACAACTGGCCAGGGATAGATTACCCACATTTAGAGGGATTATGTTTTAAGTAGTTCACAGCATAACTTGGTTGCATGGAGATTGAAAAATCCTGACTGCACACATGAGGTTAGGAAACTATGCTGGTGTGTCTCCAGTATAGAGCTGCCAAGTACATCACTGCATAAATGCCAGGCATTTGTAGAAGAAGTATGGCCTTCATTAAATCTGATAGGATGAATGCTGAGAAAATACGTTGTCTTTTAAATATACCTAATAAATATTTCCAAGGAATCAGCATTGAATCCTTCGTGTAGTCTGGATTTGTAGCTGTGACTGTTAACGAAAAGCTGACTGACAGAAATGTGCAGGATGCAAGTGAAACTGCCAAATAGCGATTTGGGATGACAGAACCGTGACTGCTACTCTCTTTTTCAAGCACTCCGAACTCGCAGTAATGGTGATATTCCTTGTTTTGCAGAAAGACAGTACGTTAGATGCGGCTGAAGTGATCCTGAAGAACTGGAATAAACAGCCAGCCTGATTTTTCTTCTTAACTCTTCCATCTGGTATAATTATCTAATAGTGAGGGATGCTTATTGCAAATTTAAGAACAGATTACTTTGTACAGAATTAATACGACATTGTAAATAACTTTGTGCTGCCACCTGCTGAGGAGTTAAAACAGTGAGTTACTGAAATACGTGTAATGCAACTCAGAGGTTATTTTCAGCGTTTTCAAAATAATTTACTTTTTTTCCTAAAAAAAAAACCTAAATAAATCTATGGGATTCACGTCTTCTACTGAAAGACAAAAATTCGTAGGACTCTGTGTAAAATAAACAGACGATACAGGTATTTTAAAACTTACAAGACAAAAGTGGGAGGTCTTTTTGGTATGAGGTAGTACAGGAACTAGGGGTGAGACTTAAACATGGTGGTTTGTTAAACCCAATAGCCTGCAGTGGAGGAAGAGTAAGACATGCCTCATGTTCGATAATTGCAGTGACTTTTTAGGAACACACTAGGAACACACCCCCCTACCCAAATTGCATCAGTTGAAATAAAGTGATGGAGTTAAATCAATGCAGTGTTTGTGCTCTAGGCAAGATTGATAAGTGCTGAGTTGCATAATTACTTTTTTATTTTCCCACGAGAGTGATGTGTGCTGTTCTCAAAGTATTCAGTCCTCAATAAAATGGTCAAAATGGCACCTGCAATAGGAATGTCTCCCTATTTATTTATTTATTACATGGACGAATCTACAAAGCAAAATAGAAGGCTTTGCTTTAGAGGCTGCTTCACAATCAGCTGTACAGTGGCATAATTAATCCCGTCATCCGTTTTCTTACCATGTTCCCAACGTTGGGTAGCCTCACACCACATTTATTTCAAACTCTTTAGATCTAGAGGGACCGTCGAGACGGGCCTGACGCTGTGCTGTGGAGCAAAAGTAACTTTGTTTCAGCTCAGCTGATCGAGGACTGTTTCAGAAGAGATCAATACGGAGGATTCCTGTCGAGTTGCCCTCTCTTTTAATTCTCTCTGCGATCTTTTCATCTGTGGGCGGGTTCCCCACTAGCAGCACCAACCCAGGTAGGCAGCTTTTAAGGTTTGTGTCCTCCGTGTTGTTTCTGTGTTCTTCCCACAGGCCTTGCGATGGGAGGCCTGAACGAACAGGAGCTAGTTCTGCAAATATTTTACTCATGCTGTGATCACACAGCTGGGATCTTCACTGAATTCCATCGGAATGTGACCATGGCCAGGGCCTAAAAAAAAAAAATAGTAGAGAAACTGGTCTGTGAGGGCAGCTGCTAGGCTTTTTCATTAGTTCTTGGTCTTGGGTTTTTGGGAGTCCTGTAGCTGGGGCTTTCGTGGTCTTTATAGCTGTCTTGCACTGCCGTTCCCCAAATCTCACCAGAAGGTGGCTGGCTGGTATTTTTAAGGTTGTGTGTAGTCTTTGTGTAGAAAAATCAATTTAGTAATTAAAATGACTTAACTGAAATTTCAGCATGAATTTCATGTGGGAATTCCTACATTGCATTCCAGGAGGAACTATTTTTTTTTTTTAAGATACTCAATTTCTGTGAAATCTGCACTGTATTTGACAAGGAGTTTAAAATCGGCGTGTGTAAGTTGCACTGGGTAGCTGTGCTGCTGCAGGAACTGAGAGGGCAGGGCAGCAGTCTGGTGAGCTGCATGGTAATTTGGGAAAGGAAAATGTTCAAGTAGTCTGCTTTAACTGAAAAGTAAATTGTTATGAAATCAAGTAATTTTTTCCTAGCATAAATATGTGGTAAAAACATCGGCTTCCATGGAATGTTTGTATGATGATGTGAATCAAAATTTTCTAATTTCTTAAGCCTCTGAAATGATACAAAATAATAAAGTATTTGAATTTTGGTTTCTTGCAACGGATTCTTCTCAATGCAATTAAACCTTATGCAAGTAATATTATTTTCATCACTGTTGTATATAAAAAGTTTTAAAGATCGTTGCGTCGTGCTTCTCTTGAAGACAACGGCTACAGAGCACAATTCCCTTAAGTATTTTTTAAAACCCTCTTTCTGCAGTCTAAGATTTCCCTGGGATGGCCGGGCTGTTAGCATGGGAGCCCGTTGGGTTATGTGGCCTCCCAACAGTCGCGTGAGGGTTCTTCCGTTCACCTCTCTCTGCTCTGGTGAAAAAAACCCAGCACCTCACTGCTTCGAAGGACTTGGTGTAACGGGCTTGTGTCACTGTCCTTGGCAAATGAACACCCTGTGTGAAATCAGTCCAGAATGTGCATGAAGGAAAAACGATACGCAGGGCTGAAGAGGAAATGCAGACAACTATAGCAAAATAGTTTTTCCATTGTTAGTTTTGGCTGTTTCAGCTGCCTCCCGAGTATGCTGGTCACTGAGCTGTGGAGCCCCGAACGGGAGTTGGGACGCAGAGGCGGCCCGTGTTTACTGAGGGCGCAGAGCCTTGCTCGTGGGTGCGGGTTTTGGCTGGGATGGAGTTCGTTTTCTTCGCGGTGGCTGGTCTGGGGCCGTGGTTGGGATTTGGGCCGAGAACAGCGCTGATAACACAGGGATGGTTTGGTCGCCGCTGAGCAGGGCTTACGCAGCGTCAAGGCCCCGCAGGCTGCCCTGCCAGCGAGCGGGCTGGAGGCGTGTTAGGCTTGAGGAGTTTGAGCTTCTTTTTTCCCATTCTGCCCAGGTGCTGTCATGTGTAACCTCTTCGTTTCATCAAATATCTGAACAAGATGCAGCACAGAGCTGGATTCACACACCAAGCGTGATTCAGCTGCTGTGGCTATTTATTTATTTTTACTTCATTTGCTCCTTTGAGGCGTTTGACTGACATCTGCTCTTTGAACAGAATGACCGTTGGCTAAATCAACAAACCGTTACAAAGGGCCTTTAGCCGTGCAAGTAAGAACCAGGGGCTTGTTTGCATTAATGCATCGTTCATTGTGTTTGTGAAGGCATCTGAATATCCTACTGGTTAGCGTTGGAGTGATGCTGGTAATACCAGCCGTGTTGGAATTGCAACTGAACGACACAGCTTTACTGCTGACAGTAGCTAGCGTGAGATACTTGGGGTGAAATTTTAAGAAACTCCAGAATGACCAATTAAGTAAGTTTAAAAATAGGATTATTGTTGTAACTACAGGGGTGGGAAAGAGCTGGGGACAGCAAGGTGAACTTTCTCCAAGTTGTTAATTAAAATGATCCGTTGTTGACAGAGACTGTTCATGGTGGTTTTCCCATCTGCCACGTCAACCGCTTTTTTCGTGCTGCTTGTGGACAAAGCGCTTGAGAAATTGCTGCAGACAGGGAACAAAGAAACGCTGAGATACCATCTATCATGGTTTTTTTGCAACATTTCTGAAACGGATTGTCTTTCTGTGGTGGAAATGAAACTCTTTCGATTCTAGTTAATGAGAATCGGGTCGGGAGAGACCCGCTGTTGACAGGGATTGCCAGCAGGAGGGCTTTTTCGTAGAAGGGATTATAGGCGAAGCCAGGACAAACCTGGGAAGCTTGATGGGGCTGACGGCGCTGATGGGGCATATCTGCTGCAGACCCTGCTACGTGCACGTTTCAGAGGTTATGGGGAAACTTCGTATCGTGAGCTGTGTTCACATGGACAGATACAGTGATTTTTTTTCCCAGTACTATTTCATCTTCGGGGCTTATTGAGCATTTGTGAAAACAGTCATCGCAAGCAGAAAAAGAGAAGCTTTAAATTTGTATCAGGGCATCTGTATCTTCTAATTGTTCAGCTTCCTTTTATTCCAAAAGGTATGTATTTTTTTTTTTTTTAAATTACAGGAATGTGTCAGTATGTTCAAACTAGCTCATTTTCAACCAGCACACAGCATTTCAGTCAGCACCAAAGTGGTTAGGAGTTGTGTGATAGTGAATTTGACTCAGTATTAGCAAGTATTAACTTTTCAACCCCGCTGGATTTCCTTCTTCAAGCTAGCAAACTGAAAAATATTTTTGATACGTAGTGGAGATGTGGTGTTAAGTGGTGTGAACAGTCCTTTGTATCTGCTTAATAGATAGCTGATTTGCAGCTGTTCACAGACTTCAATACTGATTGCTTTAAAGGATTGAAGCAACAGCACTTTCCAAAATCTGTAGACCCTCCTGTCCTATTTATCCCTCTTTTTATCAGTGATGTGCGGCCCATACCAAATGAATAGGGTTTTTTCCACTGTTTTACGGTTTGGGCTTGAAAACCTGTTGTTGCTCCTCAATAATATGGACTGATTTTGCGTATAGATAATCTTTCGGGGAGTTAGTCAGGGCCGGAGTCCAGCGCTGGAGGGCTTTGGTTTTGCAGCAGTTCCTGTGGGTTCCTCCTTCTCCTCGGCCTGATGTTTGCTGCCGGGGTGGGTGCGAGGGGCAGGGACAGAAGGGGAGCTGATCACCTCACGCAGGAGCCCGTAGGGTACCGGGGGAAACCCACACAAACCAGCAGGCATGGGCGTCTCTGCTCGAGTCGGGCTGTGTCCGCGCGTGGCCCGCTTGCCGAGGGCTTCCACGGGTCACAGCTGGGCTGCCCGACACCTGCGGGTCCTGCAGAAGGGCCTGTTTTTTCTCAAGGTCGAATCAGCCGAGTAGCAAACCAGAACAGCTGTCGCAGATGATGCCAGCAAGGGAGAACTAAACTTTTCCTGCTTTTTCTTCCCCTTTTTGGGAGCAGGCCTCTGCTTGGTCTGCATCCCAGAGCCAAGAACGCATTGTACCCCTGAAACTTCTCTGCAAACTCCGCCAGTTTTGCTTAAACCCGTTCCCTCGGGTGCCCGAGCCCTGCCCATGAGCAAGCCGGCGGCCCTGGGCCTTGGCTGCACGGCGGGGAGGGGGTC